GGGGGGGGGGGTGAAACATACCAGCGGATACCCTAGCTTTCTTTTTTTTGGGGGGGGGGGTGAAAATATACGAGCACAGCCGGGATGGTTCAAAAGACCAGTTTCCAAGGCACGAACTTACTCAGCAGAAGGATTTTCACTAGTTTTTATTTTGTTTAATTTACACTACTAGTTTTATTTGTTTAATATTCAATAGTTTAAGAGGTCATTTATTTTAAGCTCTTCCAACACTGGTGACGCTTGAGCTTGAGGGGAGTGTAGTAAAAGTCCCCTTAAACCACTATCAGTGTGGAGATAAAATTAGTTTACAATTAATTCACACGAGGTGAATTATTTGTAGACCACGTAGACAATCAATTATAAGAATAAATACACCGCACTGAGCCTCAGGGAGACTCAGTAGGTTTTAGTATCGTATTTTGATGTGTTTACTACAACGTAAATCTAAAACTTCTGGTATAACTGCGATGTTAAGCATGTTTGGTGTCACTCAAAAGTCAATAGGAAATCATTGAAGTAAAACATTAGCAAACATATCTGTGTCGTTGTGTGCGAGATTAAGTAACTCGGTCTTGTTCGAAAACGTATTGTTGGTCTTCTATTTATCTCATCAATGTGCAATATGTTTCCTGGATTGCGAGTTGTACTAGATGTTGGGTTATTTATATATATATGCTACACTGAATATTTTCTCCAAATTGAAAAGTATCACTATTTGCGCGTGTGTGTAGTATGAATGAAAGCACGGCCGGCCCCGATCATACAAAATCGGTAGCTAGTTGACACTCTGCACTTGAGAGAGTATTTGTCACTTGTCTGGAAGAAACTTGGAGGATAAGTTTTCACCATTCATGAATAGAAGCCGGGTGCTCGCGTGTGTATGTCTGATGTACATTGACCAAGACAAAATAATTAGTTGGAAACTGCTGTTGATAACTTTAGAGTCACGATACTGAACACACTGGCTTGTACCATATGGTATATATACTGAAGTTAAATTGAAGATTCTATGGGTATCATATGCCCAACTCGAACGAAACAGTCAGCAAGATCACGTACCTACTGTAGTAAATGTCAGTCTTCTTCGCTCGCTTAGTATATCAAAACTTGTTTTAGAGTCTGTATATGTTAAATACATGGTAAGAGTTGTTGTATCCTCTACGTGACCCACATGTCGTACCAGAACAGTATAAGTACTATTGCCTTCGCGACTAGTTTCAACATATGATAGCGATTATACTTAGTATTGTTTTTCATCGTAGAGAGCAGCTCAATATTTTTTCCGCTACAAAGGCGAGTCAACTAGTGCCGCAGGATGAATGCCGTGGCCAGGTGTGTGGCGGATAGAATTATCTTCAACATCAAAAGTATCAATCATGTGAGTAATATACGCGTGTTGATCTATGGTGGTAGCACCAGTAACGTGTTGCGTTATGCGACGACCGATGAGATAACGAGCTAACCCAAGATTCTTGAGTGAGTAATGACGGGACAGTTTCTGGAACAACCATTGAGCATCGACAGAGCCTTTAACTATAGCCGGGGCAAATTTATCGACATAAAGAACGAATCGGGTATTGAGGGTGGAGTGAGCATAAATACGCTCATCGGCGGGAGCTCTGATTAAACCGAGGAGAACTGAGTTTTGAACCAATGTCATGGTTTCACAGGCGGCCTGCCTGTTTGGGACCAAAAGGACTCTTTTATCGCTGCCCTTGGAGGGCTTCAAATAGACTACCATGTTCAGGACAGAATAGAGGAAGCGGTTTCAATGTCAAAATGGGGAATCTCGAGGCCCTTAGAAGCTGCGTGAGCGGCGAACGTGCGTGCAGTAGTGGCGGAGCCTGCTGGAGCGTAGCTTTCGAGATATGAGTTGCCATATTCTTGCTCAATTCCACGAGCAACAATTCTTGCCTTAAAGATGGTTTGGACGCCATTCTCATCGTACTTGCGAGTAAGAACGTACTTACTATGTATAGCCTTTGTGCCGGGCCGGACAGAAGAATCACAGACTAAATCATAGAGATCATTAGTGATGTGTGCCAGGCGTCTTTTCTGGATGGCAGCATTTCACGCAGACCAGACCGGGGAACACTGAGCCTAGGCTAGACTCTTAAAGTGTGTATTGTTCATACTAGCAATCTGCTCTAGGAATGTGATGTCAGAATGTGCAGGATCGTGGGCTACGACAGCATTGTCACTCACGTAATGGTGCAAATTTAGAAGGCGGGTGTCACGAGAACGAGAGTTCATGAGATCATGAACGTCAGGGATATGAGCATAGTCGCACGGTCAAACATCAAAGGGGGCTGTAGGAGATGAAGAAGGCGAGTGGTAGTTGTCATCAGATTCGGGAGGCAGGTGAGGAGAGTTGGAGATAGAAGGTGGAGCCGGTCGAAGAATATCGGCAAAGAATAGCGGTATAGGTATCAGACTGGGAGGCAGTGAAATGGGGTCATGATTGAACAGAAGACGGGTGTCGTAGAGTTGATAGAGTCAGGAGAAAGATATTTGTGGGAGATCACAGAACAAAGAAGGGAGATACAGGGGGAGATGGTGAAATGATGCATGAGGTGACGATGTCTGCGGTGGTATGGTAGATAGTTGGGGAACAACATATAGAATCATGGTGGTGGTAGTACTGGGATGAGTGTGCCAAGCGTCTGTGGCCATATAGGGGTAAGGGGTAGCTCTCCGTGTATACACTTTAAGTTGTTCAAGATAAGATAGATTGATCGGTCGGGCAAGATGTGAGCAGCAGATCGGTAAAGAACATAGCGCATAGGGTTTGAAATAAAGTCCAAGGATCGATCATAAGCTCTTCATCTTCAAGTGATTATCGCAAGTTGTCTGTCAATAGACATGAAGTTGAATAATACTTGTAAACCCTATACCCTCAATCGCTAAAATTACGACTTAAAATTACGACTTTAAAAATGCGACCACTAAGTCTGACGCTTACACGTGCAACCATCAAACTTGACTCTTACGAGTGCGACTCGTCTTAATTATGACACTCAACCTTGCGACCCTTAAGCAATAGATGCTTATACATGCGATCCTAAGTCTGACACTCAACTGACGCTTATACATGCGGTCCTAAGTCTGACGCATATGCCTGCCAGAGATAGATCGATAATATGATTGCTCGAAATCAACTGATGCCTTATATGCGCCAATTATGAGCCAATTATGTGACTTACACATATACTCCTGGCAATAATAAAAACAACGTACGCTATAAAAAACAAATAAAAACAACGTGCAGGGCAAGTTCATAAATAAAAACAACGTCTAATATAAACAGATATATAAAACCAATCTGTAATTACTATAGACAAATAAATAGAATCAATCGGTACTTAGAACAAGTAAAGTGTACTGTAAAATAAAAAAATCAACGTGAGATTTTTTTGATGCTGATACGTATGTGCGGCTTATGCCTGCCATATATATGTAACTTGGGTGACTGCCGCTGATACATCCGCATGCAATATTTGCAACAAAAAGCAAAATAAATAGATGAAATCATAGTAACTGACGACCCCATTCCAATTTTATTATATATATATATATATATATATATATATATATATATATATATATATATATATATACATATTTATATATATATATATAAATAAATATATATATATATATATATATATATATATATATATATATATATATATATATGTATATATATTTAAATACATATTTATATATATATATATATAATTATATATATATATATATATATATATATATATATATAGTATATATATATATATATATATATATTAAAAGAGAAAGCATGTGATAATCACAATATATTCAACGAAAGGAACACGAAATTACATTAAAACTTTTGGGCACGAACTAAAGTTGTATGGCCGGACCATGTCATTTTCTGTTTAATTTGACAGTAATTGATTATGATTGTGAAAGGAGAATCATGCAGTACATACTGATGTCATTTCTAAGGAAACCCAAAGAGATACAGGCTACGATGGCTGAAGTCAAGGGTAATGATGAGGAGACCAAAACTTTATATACTAGAAGTATGCACACGAGATCACTGACGGAACACGCTCCCCGACACCGACGGAATCATAAACATCGTACATACAGAATGTTCGAGGCGATGGGAACTATTTCCCACGTACAGTTTGCGAGAGCCCCTTTTTTCGACAATTGGGTATGACTATTACATTTACATTTTACAGACCGCCGGATTCTACTCCCATCACTCCGTTACTTTGTAACTCCGCCCGTAGGTATGATAATTAGCGTTTTACATCGAAAGTTTAGCTTTTTCCTGGACGTAAAATGAACAGGCCCCTTGTTAAGGAACCCTATATCTTGGGTTATTCTATAGTACACGTGTACTGAAATCACCCAAAATTGACTGTGCACGCATATGTGTATTATTGATGCACAGATAAGTCACTAGTTACTTGTTCAGTATGAAGCGTAAGTCTGAACGACAGAACGAGCCACCAGCTAAGAAGATCAAGAAGTACATGTCTCCCTGTATGTGTAGTGTACGTGGTTGTATACAGGAAGGAGATAGATACATATCACTGATAAAGTCAAACAACCCAAAAAAAAACAAAAAAACAAAGTACAAGTCAAAGAAGCAGATGCAAGCGCACTAGAGTGATTGTATTCCGTGCAACCAGACATCAACCAAGAAGCAATAGCCAAGGCGTTTAAGAATAGAGATGGAAAGAAGAATCATGCAGCTATCAACGCAAAACACTTTCCTATACATAGTTTATCCTTCAAGGGTAACTGGCAGATCGTGGCGTGCATCGATGCCAAACCACTTCGCGAGTTTCAGTGGTCTAGAGACTATCAATTAGATCGTGTAACTAAGCTACCGTCACACACTAAGCAGGTAATTAAGTGCATATGTACACTGGGGGAGGAAGAGAGCGGGGGAAACATTATGTTTGAGAATGGACACGAATTACTCAAGGACAAGAAACGTGCAAAACTAAGGGTGTCACGTGTAGTATTAGACGCCAAACTACAGTGAAAACTTAATAAGCAAATTGAAGAGTCTGATGGGCGTATAGGTTTACGTATGCATCGTAGACATTTCACACCTGATCAGTTTATGGACAATACACCTGGTATTAAATGGAAACGAACAACACTCAAAGGAGATGCTGTCCCAACGTTTAGAGTTGTACTTTCTATCGTAATGAAAGCTCGGAAGTGTCCTTCACAACAGATTGAACGGCGAGAAATGACTAGCCTTGCTACAAGATTACAGTATAGTAGTAAGCAAAGATTGGGTAGGGGACTAACTATAACTCAGGCTAGTGATATTATTACACCGCTATTTCAAACACACAGAAGTAAGATACGTGAAGAGATGGACCCTGAACAGAGAGCTAGAGAAGCTGAAAATCTAAGTGGACACAGTGGTTGGTGCACTGTTCACTTCTTCAAAATGTTAGAGAGTCCATCTTTCTGCCGCAAGGCAACAGGAGAACCGAATCTGACGGTGCTTCGTTTGTTGTTTGAGTATCTTAACTATAGCGATCGACTTGTTAATCTGACACAATGGAACGATAAAGTACGCAATCGAGTAGCGGCGGCAATGGAGCTAAATGCAGATGGTATTGATGGTGATGAGGAAGACTTCGAACTCAGAAAGCGTAGTAAGAAGCTCCCAGTCTGGGAGCAATTTGTCCTTTTCATACTTATATTTTCAGACTGCCGTGATGATATGGCAATTGCAGGTGCGCACTTTGACATTCACGAACAAACGGCTCGAAGAATATACACTACGTTTTGTATAGAGATCTCACACATATTTAAAGCAAGACAAACATTCCCTACGCCACAGCAAGCTGCTGCATACACACCAAAGCGTACTAAGCAAGCATTGGATCTGAACGATGGAGTGGCTTTATTTATCGGAGATTGCACTGAGAGGAAGATTGAATCTCCTCTATGCAAATCAAATGATTTATATTCAGCGAGCTTTAGTGAATATAAGAATTGTACTACCATCAAGCACAACGTTATAGCTTGTGGTAATAGCCGATATTACAAAAGGTTATTGTGAGGCTTCCACATATATAGGCATACATAAAAATGAACATATGGTAGCAAAATGCGAGCAGCAACTAGCCTAACAGATGTTGTGCACCAAACAATATTTATATGCTACTTATATGACAAGGGCCTCACGGATAGAAATGAACTTGAGCGACACCTTATATACGTGTGCATCCCGAGGAAAAACAAAATGGACAATTAGCTTTATCGCAGCAGCGTGCTGCGGATGACAGATTCATTGCCAGAGAACGCATCAACATTGAACTGAATATGAAAGAATTTCGAAATTATAGTGCCATCGCATCGCTACACAGACGCGTGATCTCACTATCTGAAGTTGATCTAGCAGATCATGAGATTCAGGTTGCAAGGGGGCTTGTTAATTTGAAGCCCCCTATAGCAGATTGGTACTTGAACAAAACAGACTCAATTGATTCGGACTTCGTACGGGTTAACTGTATAGAAAGCGTGGCAGTCAATATAGATGACCAATAAGGATTGAATCCAAATCATCCCTGTAATAGCCGGGCCTCCACATTAGACTCTATGATAAACGTACTCTTAAGCAGTACGTAAACTACAAAAGTACACTTAATAGTACAAGGAACTTAAGTTTCTTAAATGGGTTTTAACGGTTTTATTAATTGATAATTTTTCTAATTTTACATTTCAGATATTTGGACAAGGCCCTTAAAAGGCTCCAGTAAAATACCAAGCATATGATTTGGTCTAGTTCGATTAATAGAACTATATTTACTTTCCAAATCTATTTATATCTGAATACTTCGGTAGCGAGATGGCTCAACCGAATATAGGTTTCTAGGGACTACTAGCGTTACCTAGTTTAACCTCCGTTCAGCCAACCAAATGTGCCAGTCTGATGAAGGCTAAGTCGGTAATTCTTGATAAGTGGCAAGTTATTGGTGAATGCAATAACTATGGACATCAAGAGTATTTTTCTTTTTTCTTTTCTTTTTTCTAAAGATAGGATTTTATGAGTCTCCCTGGCCGATGATAGAAATATCACTACCCGAGCTGTGATAGTTAAGAAGTCACAGAGGTACGACTTAATAGTCGGAATGAGTGATTTACTCACTCTAGGTATAATCATAACTGGTTTACCAAATAACATAGATCCATTAAAGGATCAATCAGACGATAGCTATCTGAAACCATATAAGCCCCCGTCAGACACAGTCAAGGCATTAATACCTGACTTTGCGGACAAAATCATGGATCTGATTCTAGTAAATAAGAAGATAAAAATCACAGATTGGGCAAAATTTCGCTTTAACGACAGATATGTCGGCCTTGACAACCAAGGTAGACTTTACTAAGCTCAAATGCCCTTCAAGAAACTATGTTTCTTGGAGACACGAAGATGTAGTTAAAGAACAAGTTGAGAAATGGTTATCCGATGGGGTAATCGAAATTAATTACCAACAAACGCCAGTTAACTTAGCATTAATGGCAGTTGATCAGCACAATTCAGACGGAACATTTAAGAAGGTATGCCTAGATATGAGTCCAATAAAAAGTTATTGCCGACTCATAGCTTCCATCTCCCTCGTATAAACGAGTTACTGAGTCGAATGGAAGGTGCTACGGTGTTTACATCCATAGACCTAACATAGGGGTATCATCAAATGCAAATTTATGAACCCCATCGTAAGTACTTTAGTTTTACCTGGAAAGGTAACAAT